CCTTTCGTGGCGATACACAACCTATCAGACATAGCTGATGCCGAAGAGACAGCCCAACATGATCCTATAATTGAGAGAACGCTTTGCAGATCAAGCGAAATCTGGTGGATAAGTGTGAGCAATTCGTTACCGCAATTTGCTTGGTCACGGACGGTGCGGATGGATTTGCAATTCGGCCATTTCTCGCGAGCATCAAATCTGAATGTAATTCATTCTTACGACGCCTTTGCCTACATGTGGTGCCTACCAGTTACTATTATGACTTTCTATTAGAGATAAGTGCTTAAGATTTGATGGTACCTCTCTGGAATTGCTTCTTTGGAAAAAATTTCCGGAGCTTTCTCATCAACTTTCTGTGCTTCCTCATCAAAGTCCGCGAGCTTCGTTTTCATCAAGCGCGATTTGAATTGTTTGTAAGACAACTTAGGCTCTCCTGCCTATAAGAGGCACAGCTCTAGCTACAAATCAGGTATGGCTGCAGGTACCTAGTACCTTAAAGAACGGCTGATTCGCGTTGATGTAGTCAATCAGTTCCTGTCCCTCGAGGTTTTTGGCGAATTCAGGAATAGGGCGTGCCTTGAATTCCTCTGTAAATGGAAAGGCCGTACATTCAAATTTTCAACCGTTTTGAATTATGCTAACCTTACCATCGTTGACTTTATTCGGCATAAGACTAAAACTTAGATTTTCTTATTGTTCTCTGACAATCAGCTCTAGTGTTGCAAATTTATCAGTCACTTTTTTGCATCAGACATGATCCAACAAGACGAGAACGGAGCAATAAGGCAAGATTGCTTACCAATTGAAATAGCTTTGAAAGCCGTGACTGACGATATTGTCAGCAGCGCCAGGAGAATGACCATCTAAATGTGACATGAGTTTATATAAAGCTAATAGTATATGGCCAGGAACATTTAACCTCAAACAACAGCGACTTTTATGAAGAGGAAAAGAAGTATTTATTTTACAAGGCAGTGCAAAAATAATGAATTTACCATGTTCGGCTTGCCTGTTCACGAAGACAACCTGCTAAGCGTTGCCATCCTCCTTTTATGCAAGCACTTCTCATGACTCCTGTTTTATCTTAGAGAGATTATCCGGGTAGCTTTTTTGACATACACGTACTCCTAACATAGAAATCGAATATAAGAAGACACTAAGAGGATTTCAATATAATGAAAAATTCCTACCATATTTGCCAATGCTGTGTGCTGAGCTACGCCTTTTAATAGTTCTAAGTGCCATAATTTGGTATCATAATAAATATCGATACATATGGAATTAGAAGAAAG